GTGCATACTCTCGCAAATCGTTTACAGCCTTCTCCTTCAATTCAGAAAATGGATAGACAAGACTTGTGGGCTCACTTTATGGTAATTCTTAAAAAATTAGGTTCATTATGTCAACCAGCACCTTCAACGATGCTAGCAAGTCAAGTACTAGAAAAGATAACAGAACTTGAATGTATAGGGATATTGTGATGATTCCACAAATCTAGCTCAGAAGTTCTAGTAGAGGCAGCAATTTACTTATTTCTAATAATAGTGCAATCGTCACTCCATAAATTTTTTTCACTGAGAATGACTGGTGCTCAGTGACCGACCGTATTTCGTCCCAGAGATTAGTATTTGATTTGAACGTGCGATTTGAACTCAAGTAATTTACTAGCTTGATCAATATTGATATAGTATTGCAACGTTTTTGAGAGAAAAAATTCATTCTTTTGTGGATATCTAATAGTTGGCGCTGATGAACGTAAGAAAGATTGTCTGCGGTACTTCGCAAATCAGATGTTATTGAGGTTGTAGATTAGAGCAATGATACATCAGGAACGCGATGCGTTAATTCGACTCACACTCCTGTAAAATTAAAGAAAAAACCAGAATCGCTCAAGCACAATTTCAAGCTATTGTTGTTTTTCTAATCAAAATTCGCGACCATGGACTCATCGTTTTGAGAGATTTCTACCATTTGCAGATGTGTGGTAACTTTCAAAGCAAGTTACTTTTGCTTTTATAAGGTATAGGGATATAGGCTAGCCATCAAAGAAACCCTATGATTTAATTCTAAATTCATTTAATGGTAAATTAGTGGTGAAGATGTTGAAATTGCGGAGCAGTGGCAGTTACTCATTATCTCCGAAAAACTGAGGAGATAATGAGTAACTGCCACTGCTTCAGAAAGAAAAGAATGCAGGTATGATGGAAATCAACTGAAGAGAATGCAAAACATGCAGTAATGCGTATAGAACTAAATGTTTGTGCCTTCAGTTACATACCTGACCTCTGATCGGATGTAGTAGGTCATCAGCCACAAGCTTCTTTGCTTCCAGTCCTGTACAGTTCACAATGCAGTCGTAGCCAGTTCCGAGGTCATCAAAAGTTTCTACAGTCTTCTTCACAATACGTCCTCCATTGCTAAGAAACCTAGATGGGACAATGAACATAGTTACAGCTCAGCACCTTTAAATTCTAAATCTAAGCTAATGGTCTATTTACAGATGTGGCTTAGAAGCTAACGATCTCTAATTAAAGAATTGATAGTTTCAAAATCAAAACTTGTTTTTAGTTGCAAAAATAAAAAATATGTATTCCAAAAAACGGTCTTTACGTAAAATAAATGTTTTGCGGGATTTTTTTCCCCAATTTGCGTAACCTTGTGGTGAGGGATTTGGAGAGATAAAGCGAGAGGTACCTACTATAACTTTTTGAAAGGTTTTTGTAAAATTTCAAAGGATTG